CGGTAATGGCCATATCTCCGGAGATCGAAGATGCATCCGCCGAATATGCCGCGTCCGGTGCAGTGAATGATTTGGAGAGATGAGTTAGAATTGGGGACAGGCGGTTATCTTCATCCATCCGGGGCAGAGCGCGGGCTGAAAGTTCCAAGCCAGCCTCAAGTTGCCTTGAGAATTCGCCCACAACCATACTCGTTTGTTCTCGAAGGTGCACATATGCTTTTCCCCTCTTGAGCAACACCTTTCTCTGGGCCACCAGCTCTGGCACTTGTTCCCAGTCGACCTTGAACCAACCCTCCTCTTCAGGTTGCCCCTTATTCCATTGCCGACCTGTAGCGGCCCGAAGTTCGTCGCCAAACCGTGCCTTCTCCTCCTCATCCACTACCTCCCAGTCCATGTTCAGACTTGAGATGAACTTCTTCCTCTCCCGGGCATCATCTTGAGCGAGGCGCAGCTGGAACAATTGCGTCTCCAAGCGTGCAAAGCGTTTCCGGAGGTCCTCGGTGGCAGAGAAAGCCAGTCTTAACGTCCAGTGGGAGTAGTGGTCACGTTTGCGTTCCTCTTTCAGAGTTGTTGATTGTGATGAGTTTTGTGAAAGCGGAAGATGCTTTTGCAGGATTGGCCGCATGTACTCGGAAGTCTCCTCAGGACTACGGTTACGGAACTGGCATGCTTCGAGTTCGGCGAGAACTGTATTTTGTGTCAGCATGTCATCCCCGTAAACGCCTTCCGTGTTTCTAGTCGCGCGTACTACGCGTCAAGACGGCGATTCTTTACCTTTTAATCTGGCAATGCCCCATTCCTCAAACTGTTCCAGAGTGACATCTCCCGTAGGAGGTATGTTATAGAAGTTCATGCGATATGCATAATCTTGTTCTTGGTATTGCGCCCTTGCGAACTGCTTCTTTCTTGGGTCAACTACAGCCCTTCTCTTCGCGTCGACTCGCGCGACGGGGCGGGTAGCGAGCATGTTGCAGCGACACTTTTGGTTCAGATTGTTGGGCTAAATGTGTACTGCTTCAAATTTTGGGTCGTCTGTATGAGTCGAGTTGCTGAAGTGTGCGTAGTGATTGGAATGGAAGATGCGTGTTGCAGTAGCCAAAGTGATTTAGTCTGACGCGGGGACGACGCGACGCGGAAGACGCGTAGGGCAAACGCCAAGACTCCATCTCATCTAAGTTGCTCACACTTACTTCTCCCAAAGCGGAAAGTCCTCCAAAATCAAAGCTCGACGCGAACAAAATACCTGGAAGACTTTCTCACACCTTGTCTTTAGGTACGAGAAAGTGAAACCTATCGCACTACGATCCGTTGTCCTGTGTAGTGTGTTGTGCGTAAGATAGACTATCTCACTCTATCAATGGCAAAAGCAGGAATGGCGCTTCTGTTGACTTGATACGTATCAGCCTTGCGCTGGTCCTCCCGGCCTGTATTGTCTTTGTTATCAACCAAGTCTAGCTAATCGGTCTTCCTGCTGCTTGACCCGGTCCATCGTACGCCAGTACGAAAAGCGCTCAAAGACCGGATTGTGCGACATATACCTCTCTCTATGAAATCGCACCCTTCGCTTACTCCATGCTGCAATTGGTGGCACCCATGACATGGCAGGTAGAGCTCGACAGCTTTGCCGTGAGTGTGGACAAAGCATGCAGCGCGGTCCCCCGTTTCACCTTGTCCTGCAAGTTCTATTGTCTGCGTAGGGCTCGAAGATCATAACGTTGCCCTCTGCTATTACCCTCTTTCAGTCACCCCCACGATTATCATCAAAAACTGCGCTGGGAGCAAAATAACGTCTTCTTCTGTACAGCTTGAGACATCAACCGTTACCATGACTTCTCCCGGTTACAATGCCGTCTGGTTCTCCTATTTGGAATCCAGGGCTTCCCTAGGGCTTCCACCACCAACCTCCGCTGTAGACGCACCTCCACCTTCAAACAGTACAAGTGGCAATCTGTCTGCATCTTGTTGGTAGCAGGCATCACCACTCTATCAGACGGCCCGCTCGCCTTTGTCTCGCCAGCTTTGGAGAGCACCATTCTGCCTGGTGGTGAGATCAGTGATGTCAAGTCTAGTTTTATAGGTTACATTCAGACTGCATCAACAACGGCTGCACCTCCGACCCAGAATGCCTCTGTAATCCACTCGACGCAAATTGATTCAAGCTTTACAATCCTCACACCTTCCATACCCACATGCACATCAACACCATCCCTTTCTTCCGGCGCCCGTGCAGGTATCAGCGTAGGAGCTGTTATGGATGGCTTCGTATTGATATCAGCGCTTTCTTTCTTTCTCAGACTGCGAAGACGACGACAGCATAGACGCACGGGCGGTCTCCTTTCAGGACAGGGATATGCGGAGCTTAAGGCGGAATTGCCCAGACAGTTGACACCGAAAAAACCCCAGACGCCCATATTGCTGAGTTGAATCTTGAGAATGAGATCAGGAAAATGGCGGGCAAGGGCGGGTTTCCGGAGCTTGATCATATGAATGCTCGATCGGACTTGGACGTCGAGAGGGTAGCGCATGAGTTGCCGGGTTGAGATGTCAGGGTCGGACGTAATCCCGAAACAGATGCTGGAGTTCAGGCAGCTCGGCCCTGGGTGAATTATGTGTTGACGCAACTGCGTTTCCATCGGGCAGATCTGGACACGGAAGTCTATGTGAAGGGTCAATTCGATCTGGGTAGAACCGGATGGATGATGGGGGCTAAGCCTTCAGGACGGAACGTGAGAGCGTTGGCGTGGTTGGGTTGTCTGTGAAGGAGTATTCGAATATTTTGGTAAAAAACTGAACGCCGCGGTCCAGTCGCGGCAGCGTCCCCTCATGGTTCGTGATCTGGAACTGTGCACGCCCGTTCCCGTAACATGGCGTCTGTTGCCACAGCGTCGGGTGGAACACATCCTTCTAAGGGAGTTGAGTATCTCATGATTCGTACACTTCGTCAAGGAGCGCTCCGACACTGGGCTCAGTCGTAGCGGTGTCGTCTCCTTTCTCTGTGGTCGTCCGGCGATCTGCTTCTGTGTCTTCTCCGCTCACAATCCCTGGACCTTGACCTTGATTGCCTATCACGGTGTCTGTGTCGCTTCTCCCAATCTTCATCACCGCATCTTGACCTATGACGTCTCCTCTCCCTCGATCCAGAGCGTGGTCTCACTCGCCTTCCGTCTCTGTCGCGCAATCGCTCTCTGTCCCTTGACCTTCGACGGCGCGGCCTGTCTTCTTCATCCCTCCTCCGGTGTCGTTCCCTACTCCTGCTGCGCCTTCTCCTCTCGTTGAGACCACCCACAAGCTCGTCACCTTTGCCTTTTACGACCTCCCTATCACCTTCTCTCCCGCTGCCACTGTATTTTCCATAACCCAATCCTCTTCTTCCGGGACCCTCCTGGTCTTCCACGTTGCCAGCTTCCTTCAGTGCCATATGCACCTCCTTGTCATCCGGGCGCTTTCCCAATTCGACCATATTCGCATTGTTGCGGTCCGGTACAGGCAAGCCCAACGCCTTCAGCATCTCATCCTCCTCCCTCTCTTTGAGTTTGCGCAACTCCTCCTTCCGCTTCTCTGCCTCAGACATCTCATCGCCTTCTTTGTCGCCTTTGGCGTACCAGTTCAGGTCCTTGCCTTTCTGCCATCGGCCGACGGGTGCCATGAGGGAGTGACCCAGGTAGTTTTCACGGTGTTGAGAAGTCTGGACATCGGACCAGGAGAAGTCGCCGCGCCCACCACGGGACCCCTCCTTTCGGACCGTTTGTAGAAGGTCCATGTTGGTACTGCGCGGAGTTGTGGAGGTTGTTGCTTAGTTCATGCGGTCAGACGAAGGGAGAATGGTAGCAGTTGGGTGTCGATACGGACAAGTGATGAAGGGTGTTCTGCCGAGAGGTCTGATTTCGTGATGAAACGAAGTTGAGGGAAGTTCGGTGGTCGCGATCCAAGCTCCATCAGGATCTTGGTATAGCCATCACGTGAAAAGACGTCATACCACATATGCCAATTCATCATCCCTTGTAATTAGAACTTGCAGGGACACTCAAGTGGTATCTTCAATGCTTGTTTTATTCAACAGCCAACCCAGTGCATCCTCTACACCGCCTGCACACGCGTGCAGAGAACAGATATCACGCCGACAACTCGTGTGCAATAGAACAATCTGAGGGAATACGCGAGAAAGGTCTGATGTCTTGACTGCAATCATGAAGGAATCAACAATGCACGAGGTTGGCGAGATTCTACCGCAGAATCTTCAGACTGCAAGGCATTGTCCGGTCTGAATGCATCCGGCTAATCAAGATGTTGAGCAAGGCATGGCTGTCTCGCGCTTCGATATGGCCGTCCGCCCTGCGGTCCACTCCGTTGTGTTCTTTTGGTTCTCTTACTACCTAAGCTCTCCTCTCATCCCATAGACGAAGGGCTAGGACATCTACCTTGCCGGCTATCGTCGGGTCTTAACACCTAACGCCTTTAACTACGGCCCGGATCCGGCGACCACCACAAAGACAAACATCCGCAAGCACACAATGGCTCCTTCAAACCCTGATTATAACGAAGAGGAATCCATCTATGACACCGGACCTCGCAAGTGGATCTTTCCTCAGGACCGAGATTGATGGAGAACCACCACAACCGGGCTGGACCGCCCTTATCAGACAGCGCAACCAGAGATCCTCATGGAGGTACCGGAGAGCCGTCAGGCGACCTCCTCTCCCGGCAGCACCCACCAACAGACACCGCCTTGGACAGCTGAGGAGAGATGCCGTTCCCCAGGTATCACCGTCAGCGCATCAGCCTCAAGCTCAAAGATACCATGGAAATAGCTGGAAACACGAGGAGCCATTCCAGAGGGTCTTCAGCCGCCCCCGGTACTTCAAGACCTCTGTCGGAATGTACACTGGGGTGCCATGTATTATCGCCTCATCTACCGATAAAATATATAAACGCTGTTACCGATTGCTATTCCAACAGCTAGAGTCTTGCCGTGGTTCACCATGGTACTTGCCGGAAAACCTGCCCGGCTAGCTCAATCGGTAGAGCGTCAGACTCTTATCATCATCAATGTATGAATGCAGAGATTCATCTGAAGGTTGCGGGTTCGACCCCGCGTTGGGCTATTCCTACTCATCTACAGGGACCTGATCAGTCCTGCTCAATTTTTTCGTTGTTGGGCGCGAGTTTTTGCAGAGATTGATCAGAGTAAATGCTTCGCGTACACTAAAAGCGGGCCGCGTCGGCTGTTTGGTGGAACTCGGTAGCAAACTTGTACTTTACTAAGTTAGATCAACTTCGATTCAACAGCCAATCAAGGTGACATTTCGTTATTACTTGTTGTCATATATCGGCTGCCCTAATCATAACACGTTTCTCTTGCCTTTCAACATATGGATGCGTGGAACACCGGCAGGACACTTTCGCCGTCGAATTTCTACTACCGGCAGCCGCTTGCAGGACGCTAGTGGCCTCGCAGCTAGTGATTCCATCGGATCCTCGACCATGACTATGACTTGTTTAGCACCGGGCAACGGCGGCGTTCCAGGATGCCGGTATAACGGGCGACTTAAGGCTTAACCCTACCCATCACCCTAACGGCTGGGAAATAAATAAGCAATATATACTCCATAATCTTTATTTAGTCCAACAAGCAATACAAGCACTAATGGTCCAATGGTCAGGATCCTTGCCTTCCATGAGATAGCAAGGGGTCGGCGTTCGATTCGCCGTTAGTGCAGTTACGACTGTGTGTGTTTTTGTGTGCCCACAGTTTGCGTGCCTCAAGCGATTGAACGGTTTCCGGTTCGATACCACGTGTCCGTAAGCTGATCCAACAACCTCATCAAGGAACTGTCTAGCTTACGAGTTCCTTTTGTCTCTGATTGGGTCATGTACACAGAATCCGAGAAGACCAGGCATGCCGCGAAGTGAATGGTTTTCAACAACGAGCGATAACCGACTTGGGGTTCGGGACCTGCGATGGTATGATATTATCATTATAGGCACTATTTCGGAAGACGGTTGCTCACGGCAATTGGGGGCGAATAAATCTTGGCAGAAATTTTGTGTCTTCGAATAGACGCAGAAACGCTAAAACTGTGCTGGCATCCAACCCGCAGTGGCCAAGTGCTATCGGCGTTGGTAAAGAACTGCACTATTCTCCATACGAATACGGCATTGGACCCGAAAAGGCAGGCAGAAAAGCACGAGTTTGCTCCGATTGCTTTTCGAAAAATAAATTGCCCTAACTGCCCTGGTACGCCGCACGCCCTACACCATCAGGGCGCAAGCAGTCATTTTGCTATTTAAGAGTCATACCAAATCTGCCAATTACACTGTCTTCACACCTCCCTTCTATTTATACCCCTCTGTTCTGCCATTGACTCAGTAATCCACTTCCATACTTCACGGCACTACAATGGCATCATCAGCGCCCCTTACACCGCCTGCATCAGGCACCGCCACCCCTACAACCACCACCCTCACACAAGCCGGAGCTCTCAACCAACACAAGGAACAGAAGCCTTTGGCCAACCTCGATGCCTCCCCACTAAGGTTACCCGCAGTAAGGACCTCAGACCCGTCCCGACCCCAGATGACCCGGCGTCCAAAGACACAAAAACATGCACCGACCACATGGTAACGGCCGTCTGGCGTAACACGACCGGCTGGGAAGCACCAGAGATCAAGCCCTACGGACCACTGACTCTCATGCCAACCGCCTCTGTTCTTCACTATGCGACCGAATGCTTCGAGGGTCTGAAGCTGTACCGTGGCTACGACGGTTCTCTGCGCGTATTCCGGATCCGCAAGAACTGCGAGCGCATGCGGAGGTCTGCTCTGCGCATTGCACTTCCCGACTTTGAGCCTGCGGAGCTCGAGAAGCTGATCATCAAGCTGTGCGAAGTGGACGGCGCAAGATGGTTGCCGAAGGATCGGCCGGGCTCATTCCTGTACATCCGCCCAACTATGATCGGCACGGACGCGACGCTGGGTGTGCAAATGCCCAGGGAGGCTATGCTGTTCATCATCATCTCCTGCTTCCCGATCCCGGCGGCTGCGAACCAGGGACTGAAGCTTTTGGCGAGCAAAGAAGATTCCGTGCGCGCATGGCCTGGTAAGTGATGCTGATCCTTCCGCTCTAGGCAACCGTTAACAGGTGTCAGGCGGATTCGGATTCGCAAAGGTCGGAGCCAACTACGGCCCCTCGCTCATTGCGTCTGGTGAGGCCCAGAAGAGGGGCTACAACCAGATCCTTTGGCTATTTGGCCCTGAGGGCTGGGTGACGGAGGCTGGTGCTATGAACATCTTCTTCATGTGGAACACGAAGGAGGGCAGAAAGCAGCTCGTTACCGCCCCGCTCGAGGGCAACATGATCCTGGAGGGCGTTACCAGAGCTAGTGTGCTGGATCTCGCGAGAACGAACCTTAAAGATGAGGTCGAGGTCGTCGAGCGCAAGTTCACTATTGGTGAGATAGCGGAGGCTGTGGAGGAAGGCCGCATGATTGAAGCTTTTGCGGTAAGTCACGGCTTCACCCGGAATGAACGTACTTTTGCTGATATACTGTTGCAGGCTGGAACTGCCTACTTCATCACTCCCGTGGGCACCATTGGATGGAAGGACAAGGATATGAGTATCCCTCTGAGCGAAGGCACCATCGGAGCTTACACCCAGAAGTTCAAGACCTGGCTCGAGGACATCATGTACGGAAGGCAAAGCCACGAGTGGGGCATCGTCGTCAATGAGCAGTAAACGATAAACCTCGCTGGGAAGAATTCTTTGGTTCCTGGCGTAGAGGATCAGAGACTGGAGTTCTGGGTTCTGAAAGGCGTTGTCGCAGAAAAATGGTTTCATCTTGTCACGAGTTTCCGCGGTAAGATTGACGTGAATAGAGAATGATACCAGAAGCACGTTGCTTCACACCAACTTTCCGTTGTCAGTCCGAGAGTTCCAAAGGAACACAGTTCATGGTATTGGAGGTACAAAGATCGTTGGATCGGCAATCCGTCAGCATACATACTTGAGCGCTTACAATGCTACTCTCCGCTTTCCTGTTCGGTCGAAAAGGTCCCACCTCGTCATTGGCATCTGCGGTGAGACTAATCGTAGTACCCATCTATCGCACTAGCATCATCCTTTTTAAGACCAGCCTGTTGGCCAGTAAAAGTCAACAGAGGTGCCTGGGTGAAGTCTCGCAACGTGCGGTAGAAAAAAGGGTTGGTGCACACGTACCTGTACGTTGATATGAGCTGGAAAGTAAAAGCAAGGACGAGGAGAGGCAGAAGGTATTTTCAGTCGACTTATACTACCGCATGCGGTGAGGGCTAGCGTGACCGGAAGTGGCAGACCGTGATCAAGCCTGCGATCTTACACGGGAGTGCATCAGACCTTCGCCTTGCACCTTCGATCGGCTGACCCTGACTGGTCTTGGAGAACTATACCACAGTCGTTAGACAGAATAACGCTGATGGACTCAAAAAGCCAAAATAGACAAGGCTGACAAGGCAAACCGACGGACAATGCTTTTGACGGAGAATTAGAAGGGTACCGATGCGGCAACAAGCAGCAATAAGATTGTGCGAGACTATGAACAAAACAGAACATCTGACCCAAAGCCTCTCCTAGCTTTCCAGCAGTGGCTTAGACATTCAGACCCCAAACAATGCATTACTCCAATAGCTCGGTATACTCTGTCGTGAATTCATCCCAGATGACGTCTAAACCGCCCAAGGATCACCGGCCGCTCAACGCCGACGCTAGAATTCAGGTCCCAGATCTCGGATCTAACTATTCGTGATATCAGAAGAAGATGCTAAACGCCGGCTTCATGCAGTAGAGCTGCACCATAGAGGCCAGCATGAAAAGAAAGAAACGGAGTCAGCATGTATGGGTATATGTACGAAAGAGATCAGAAGAGTATGGTGAGTAGTGCAACGACCAGAGCAATCGAGCCGAGTCCGGTGAGCGAAGGATGGCTGACAGCGGCTGCGCCGGTTGATGCCGGTATGCTAGCATTGACGAAATTGTTTCCACAGTTGGAATCAATGAGCTGCGCTGCACTGATGTAGTTGTCATGAAGAGGCTGGGATTTGTTCGAGGCTGTGTTGGCAAAGATGGCCATGGTGTTCTGCAAGCACGAAGAGCACTTCGGCTTCGTCGTGCTGGGCAGGTTGATACCGAGCGGCAAATAGTAGACATACGATGACGTGGGCGAGCTTGTGTTCGTCGCTGCATCCGCGAAGCCTGAGAAGCCCGAGTCAATACGCAGAACGAGCGGATACGGAAAAGGGTGATAACTCACAGTAGTTGCCCGTATCTTCGTTCTTGAGGCACCCAGCATGGAACAACGATGGGTACGCTACGAAGCCATTGTAGGCCTGCATGACCATGGGATTTTGGAGACTAAGCTCAGTCCCGCAGTTGTTGCTGCTCTGGATTTGACGTGCAAGAGATGCCATGACTGCGCTGCATTGCGCGAAGTTGACATTGCAGGATGCATCAAGGGTTTGCGTCAGACGGACAAGGGAACGTTCGACGGAAAAAAGGAATTCGATGTCTGTGACAGGTCAGCCAATGGATGTTACGAGGCGGGGCAGATACCTTACCTGGAGGAGAAGGGAGAGTGGAACGCAATCATTAAATGTACTATTGGATAGGAAAGAAGTAAAGAACGCCGGGCAGGTAGTGGTCGTGAAGTTGTTTCCTAGTGTAGTGTCGAAAGGTGATGGCAGCGGCGATGCCGAATCGGTGGTAGTTCTCTGTGTGCTGGAAAACGTCGAAGAGGCCGAAGTAGTGGTATATGTTGCAGACACAGTAGAGCTCGAGGTCTCCTGCTCAGCTCGCTTTATGACACGCATTCGCGGAACAGGTGGCGCCCCGCGATCAAATAGAATTCCAGATCCAGTATGTCGTATGAGTGCCGATCTATGCCTCGATAATGATGCTGCTTCCGCGCCTTGGATACTCCAAGAAATTGAGAAAAGAATTGCAACCAGGAGGGTCGTGAGGTTTTGATACAACCGGACGCCGTGTTGACGTGGGCACCGCCTGGTTGGCCGATACTCCAGGAGCTGTAACACGACAGCTCCGGCGTCGGTTGTCTGGCATTTCTGGGGTACCAGACAAGCAGCTCGTCGCTCTCTTTGTTTAGTTGAATCGTGGCACGAAAAGTAGAGCTGATCCACTGCGTTAATCATGTCGCTTGAACCACTTTTGAGTGCCACTGGACCATCTGAGAGACCGTTCCACTCCAGTCAGATGCGCGTCCAGGAAAGACAGTAGCGGCCGAGATATTGTTTGAGGATTCCGGAGTCTCGGCCAACCCCTTGCGTGAAACAGCCGTTGTCTCGGGGTCGAGGTTTGAGATAGGTAGGCGTCGAGTCCTTGAACAAAAACACAGCGAGCAAGGAAGCTGATGGACTTGTACCTGGCGGTGGTGGTCGTGCACCATGGGGGACATATAGATGCATGCCCTGCAGCGAAAGCAATAGTCTCACATAGCATCGATCAGCTAGAGTAGCGTGGCGCCATGGGCGGCGTGCATGATTGCCCTGTAGACACGGCGCGGTCCCGGTCGACACCATTGTCACTCGCAGCTAGACGCATTCGTGCACTTCAAGGCGTCAGGGCGTCGGCAGCCTACTCGCTTGCCTGATGGCTTAAATGGCAGAGCACATACAGAAGGTCTATCCGCGGTGCGAGCGCGGAGAGGCGTTCCGGAGCGGCGATGAACATTC